GGTTCTCAAACATTTACTGCCACACCCACCTTGTGGAGCATTACATTACATTACATTTACATTTACTCATCTGTCAGACGCTTTTATCCAAAGTGACATCACTGAAGCTTCACTGCAGTATACACCTTGGTGTAAGTACTAAGTTCTACATCTATTCAATAAGTGCAAGGAGATCAGGTAAAGAAGTGCACTGAAAGTGCATAGTAAGAGCTGGTTAGACATGCCAGGGTGTTGGAAGGAGAACAAATTTCACAATTTACATTTGTACCTGTCATAGAGGAAAAGTACAGTTCCGGTACTAATAACATTAAAGATCAGTTCCAGCCAGTGGCGGATTTAGATAAGGGCGAAATGGGCAGCGGGGCAGCACTGGCACTTGCAAAAAACAATTTGTTACACTTGCCTGATCGGTTTTTCATTTGCACATGTCATCAATGACATCATGTCACTGTGTCAGAGCGGCTGCCCTTTCTAGTTTGTGCAGGCTTCTGCTGAGTAGGTCTCCTCTCTTACTCTCAGAGGTGGTGGGAGATGGGGAGGGGGTGGGGGGTAGTTTGAGCACAGGTCTCCCCAGTCGAGCAGGGGAATCTTTCAAATACTGCACTTCTGTCTCTGTACAGAACTAATGCCATTAGTAAAATCAGTCACACCAGGAAAAGCTAATAAATAAACCACAATTCATTCATAATACTGTCATTTTTCTGGGTTGTGTGAAATTGTATAATAATTCATGATTGTATATAATATTATTACTAATTGATGATTTTGCATCAAGGAAAGCAAGAAAGGTCAGGTTTTAGATGACAATAGTGCTATTGAGAATGTGTGTCTTGTCAGTAGTGTATTAGGTTCTCTTGTTGATGTATTTGTGGGATGAAGGGTTTGTGCAGTTTAGTAATTTGATTGTGTATGTTATCTGTGTATGTATGTGTATATATGTGTGTGTATATATAGGTGTATATACAGCGCCCAGGGCACCACACAAGCTAGAACCACCACTGGTTCCAGCGCTTGTTTCAATCCAGAGCAGCAGTTAATCATGTGATTAGATGTTTGACGTGTCAAAATGTCAGCTGAGTAAACGTCTTTTCAAATCTCTGTTCACATCACAGCAATAAAAATCTGACAAACTCCAGTAACTGCAACACTTTATAATTACAATACTTAAGACAAACTTCCTATAAGCATGCTAACAATGCTAGCAGCTAAATGCTAACATCAGCATCTTGACATGCTCATTACCGTAATCACCATCTTAGTTTAGCATGCTAACATTTGCTAATTAGCATTAAACAGAAGTCCTGACGGCTGGTTTTAAGGCTCAGTTTCTGAATACAGGCTGTGTGCATTTCTCTGTGGACTGAGGCTTTGATACTTTCACAGTATTAATATAGAACCTAGACCTGCTTTATAGTCACACAACACATGGACAAATACCTTTATACTATACGGGACCTTTAAAATAACAACCAGTAGCTTTAAAGTATCATTCTGGTTTATTACACATTAGCTCCTGTTTTTGTTGTCTTTGATGAATACAATCTGATCATAACCAAAATACAAAGTTGTAATAAACCTGATTTATGCTTTAATTTACACATTGTAATTCTTCCTAATATACAGTGTAGCAAATGAGCAAAAAGTGAATCACATATTTACATCACAGTTTCAATCTTGTGCAAACATAATTAAGCTCACCTCCCCTCCATCGGTGAACCTCCCACCTGCTCCACATGTCCTAAATCATCCTGCATGATGGTCTTATCACACAGTTCAGAGCCGGCAGACTCTGTCTGAGTCACACCGTCCATTCTCCCAACACGTCTCAAAGAAGGAAGCTGAATGGCTGTGGCGATTACTGCAGTTTGGGGGATTTGAAGTCTGTTAAATGTATTTTTCAACTTTTTGCGAGCAAGCTTAGCAGCAAATAGGCTTAGCTCCTTGATTGAGTCATGTTATAGAGCTGTAGAGCTGCTATAGAGCGTCTGACATCAGACGGATCAGGTGAGGACAGTTGGCTGCCTGTTCTCACCTTCCATTCACTCCTCTATTCAGGAGCAGGTATCATGCTAATGTGCTGCAGCTATTAATACAGAGCTCCATCCTGCCTCTGTCAACACTTGACTCACCTTAACTGGCTTCACTTGAGAGGAAATGGACCGTGTGTGTGTGTGTGTGTGTGTGTGTGTGTGTGTGTCTTGGCATGAATACCTATCCTGCTTTGCTTTTCTTCTCCGCTATGTTTATTCCATCATCCGCCTCCTGCCTCCTTTCCTCTCAACTTGTCCTTGTCCTCCCTTTTCTTTTTAATTTTTTCTCTCGTCCCTGCTCACTCTCTCTCTCCTTTCTGTTTCATCCTTCATCATTCTCTCCTTCCTCTTCCTGACTTCCTCTGTCCTCCCCCACCTTCCTTTCCTCCTCCTCCTTTTGCAGGCTTACTGCCTCCTCCTTTTAATTTCCCCCCTCATTTTTTTCTACTTAACCTTTCCCTGTCTTGCTATCTGTGTCCCCTCCATCCTTCTCCATCATTCCTCTTCTCCTCTCCTCCACCCTTGCTCTGTTCCTTCCTTTGCCCTCCCCCGCTCCTTCCTCCTCCCCTCCTCCAGTGAAAGGAAGTCAGCAGAGAGAGACAGAGGGGAGCAGCACTGCCTGCTAAGCAGTTGCGCACAAGACACTCGCAAAGCTTTGTATGTGTGTTTGGTTGTGTGTGTGTGTGTGTGTGTGTGTGTGTGTGTGTGTGTGTGTGTGTGTGTGTGTGTGTATGGGCGTGTATGGGCCTGTACACTTGAGTATTAAGTTTGTTTTTGTGTGTGTCTAAGAATGTATAATTTGTGTGTATACAAGAGTGTGGATGAAGCGTACTCGTGACATTGAATTCAGTGTTTATTCACTCCTGTGTGTGTTTGTGTGTGGGTGTGGGCGTGGGCGTGCGTGTGCACGCACGTATGTGTGTGTGTTGCAGGAGCCACTGTTTATCACAGTGTCTCTCCTTATCTTATTCATGAAGTTCAGCTGACTGTCACCTCCCCCTTCTCTTTCCATTCTCTGTCTCCTCACTTCACACACACACACACGCACACACACACACACACACACACACACACACACACACACACACACCTGTATAGAGCTCTTAAGCAGGTGTTATTTTTTTATTTTTTTGCCAGCTCGATCCATTAGACATAATGAATGTCTGCGTGAAAGGTTTAGAAAAAATGAAAACGTGTATGTTACCGACAGTTTGTGTGTGTGTGTGTGTGTGTGCGTGTGTGTGTGTGTGTGTGTTCTGTCTGCACATGTCTACCTCTCTTTGCAGCAGCCTAATTAATTTCATCTGTCTCACTAAATGCTTCTCTTCCATCCTTTTCTACCCTTTCCTTGTCCTTTATTCAACTCCTGCTCCTCTTTATTTTCTTGTCTCTCCCCTCCTCTCCTGTTTCCTTGCCTTGTCTCATCTTTTCTCTCACTGATTTATATACTATGGATGAGTGAACATATTCTCAGTCTTTCTGTACATTTTTTGTTTCTTGTGTAGACTGGAAACCGATATGTTGAGCGAAAACTGTTAAGACCAAGATTTCCTATGTTTAAATGTAAATGCCATGAAGTCAGATTTCAGTTAAAGTTTTGTCAACTTTAGACTTTGTCGTGTTTAGTTAAAGTTTTTCTATGTCTGCTTGTGATTGGACAAGATATAGTATTTGAGAAGTTTTGTTGTTCTTTGTAAAATCACAAAGGATTTTGTAGAAAAAATGTTTGCATTATAATTCTTTCTACCTACTACTGCTTCTCCTTTGCCATTTTTTCTCATGAATTAATCTAAGTTCTTTCCATCCCTATTAAGATCGTGTGTGGAACTTAACACTTATTGCTGATTAAAACCTCCCTGGAGAGGGAGGGAGTGAATCTGTGCAAGAAGTGTTTCACTGACAGAGGCCTAACACTGATTACACTAACCAACTGATAGTGAGAGCAGTGTTTCTTTTAAAAAGTGACACTTGGAACAGCATTGTGTTGAATATGACATTGCTGCTGTACTGATGGAAATAGTGCTGTGGAAATGTACATTATTATACTGAATTTATCAAGAAAAGCTGTAAACACGGAGGACTTGCTGAGTTTGCATCAGCAATAAACAACAGAAATGTAATATATAACGTATATGTCCATACATCAAGAGTGATGTTGCCATATATGTTAACTAAAAGGGAATATATTATTATCACATTTATACATCCTCTGGATATATGAAGATTTAAGTTTATAATATACATGAAAGAATAATAATAGTAAAATTTGTATATGTACACATATTAAAAATATCTAATAATTTAAGTTTAAGCAAAGTACATATAAAATTCTATACACTTTTCAATATGTTTTTCCTTTTTTTTCTTAATTTTGATTTTTTTCTTCATGTTCTGGGAAAGTGGTCTCAGACTGACTGTATATGATATCAACATATACTGACAGACTTTGGGATGGATATATAATTATGTAACATACAGTATGTATGTAATATAAGCATACATACATATTTGTATTGGTTTGACATATATGTCAATATATGAAATTGTGCCAGTTTCTAATGGGTTTATATATATATATATATATATATATATATACTGTATATATAATTTTTACAGTGGTTTACAATTTTGAATGTGTTTTTATTCTATATGCACAAATTCAATATATGTGCATATATCACATTTGCATGGAGCAAATTAAAAGTCAAAAAGCAGAAAGACTTCTTTCTAAAATATGACTCAGCCAATGTTTGAGTATTTATGGTAAAAAGAAAGTATAGTCATGGTTTCCAAAGCTGAGGGACTGGCATTATTAACACCCAGCTACTGACATATCCAACCCCACCCTTCTCCTCTGAGGATGGAGTTGACAAATTGTGAGTCATGTATACAACGTGACATTAAAAATATGTTCGGATGAAATCATTCATATTTTATGATATTTCTCCTCCTCCTGTCTCTCCATCACAGTCTAGTTCCAGCACAGCACCTCCGCAGGCGGACCCCTCCACCTCCTCCTCTGCCTCCTCCTCTACCTCCACCACTACCACCACCAAGGCGGAGGAGAAGAAGCTTTTATCTAAAGACTCCATCCTGTCTTTGTATGCCAGCAGCTCAGTGGGCAGTCAGCCGCAGAGCCAGCAACAGCCTGCTCCAGGACAAGGTGTCACACACACACACGCACCGCACACAGCATTTTTATTAACCCTTCATTATCCAAGTTATGTCAGCTGAGCAGTTCCTGCAGTTCATTGGAGCTCTGCAACATTTACTTCTTTTATTCTGATGAGTTTGGCCATAAGAGTAATATCATTTGAACATGGATGATGCCAAATAACCGCATCTGGAAACTTACAGTCTCGCACAATCTGTTCAACTACAGGTTCAAACCCCAAAGTGCAAAAACTCAGCATCTTGCCTAACAATATACCACTGTGTTTTGCACTGACTCTCAGCCTCTCATCTCCTCCAAGAGGCAACAAAAAAAAGGTCCATCTTCATTTTAATCCCGCCTCATTTAACTTTACTCTGCCTGCATTGCAACCCATTGCTGAGACCTGCTGTGTGGCCACTAGCCTCTCAGCTCTACAGTGCAGGCAGCTCTTTTCAGCAGAAACACTCTGATCAACCGTCTGTATGTCACTGCCCAGCACCAAACAACTGACAAAGTTATCACATTAGCTGGTGAACGTAGTTTAATTTGGGAGTTAAAACATCAGTAAATATTGAGCTTACTTCTGTTGAGTGCCCAGAAACAAAGCTCTGAATTAATGCTAATTTGTAATGTGCAAATAGGCAACTGCTCTTAAAGGCAGCACCACTGCATATGGATTCAATGAAAAGATAGAAGTGGCTGCAAAAAGGTATGAGTTTGCACTGGGTGGTGCAAATGGAGGCAAAACTGTGTCCACATGAGTGTTTCAAATAGAGCAAAATAGTAGTTGTTAACCTAAAGCTTTATGTCTCCATTTCGTAAATGTACAAAGATATGAGGAAATAGCAGTGAAACTGGAGGAAAACAAAAAAACAAGTGGAGTTGTGAGTTTTGAGGCCGAGGTTGATGTCAAATAAAGTCTGAACATACTCACCGTGCATACTGTTGGTATGTTGATAGCTAGTTTATGAATTGTTAACCAAAGAGTAATTTTCCCAGATGATCAATTAGAATAAATTATCATTTTTTTCTGGTTAAGTAAAACTGCCCAGAGAAATTCAATTCAATGTTTTTTTATGAAAATAAAGACTAGAGAAAAGTGAATCTGAAAAGACAGGTTGTATAGGAAGTATACGGTCTGTTTTTCTTCTTTCCTGTCCCTGGATGCATCTAGCAACTGCTCAAATTTACCTTGTGACGCCTTTGAGGCCAATTATAGAGAACACATCCTATTTTTTGTCCTATGTAAAAAAAAAAAGTTGCATATTGCAGTTATAAGTGCCTTCTTCAATGGCAAAGAAATGGTAGTTTCTGCGGTAAAGATGATCAACAGCTCCGATTTATTTGAACTGCTGCACTGACAGGCCAAACATCTTCATGTGCTGTGCATAAATAGTTGTATATAAACAGACAATAAACACATAGTGCCTCATAAGAGAGGAAAAAATATGCAGTATACTGTGTAAGTGCAGGAGCGGCACACTCAGACGTAGGTCTTTGTACACACACAGAGACACACACCTACACACTTTCACAGACACACACACACATGAGAGGAAAGATGCATCATAAAAATGGAGCAGAGCGAGGCAGATGAAAGGTCAGCGTGCTGAAAAGCAGGCAGGTCCACTCCAGGCTGCATTTACTGGAGTCCCACTGCAGCAGTAAAAATAGAGAAGTGTCTGCAGATTCACACTCATCTCACAGTTATTATGAGTTAAGACTGAAGTGCCAAGACTGTTTGTGTGCGTCTGTATGTGTGTATGTGTGTATGTGTGTGTGTGTGTGTGTGTGTGTGTGTGTGTGTGTGTGTGTGTATGTGTATGTGCATGTGGGCGGTTGTTCACATACTGTACATCAACCTGAGGATGTATGGAGTGTGTGGGAAAGCATTAGTATTACATGTTTTGCTGAATGGTGGATAGTAGGCAGCAGATTTGTGCAGCAGGCACATGTGCATATCGATTTTATTGCTGCATGATAACACTGATGTGTACAGAGGATTAGGAGTGGAAATCGAGATGAAGGGCTTTCTGCTGCTTTATTGTCCTCTCTGAATCCAAATAAATGCTGATGGAGATCAAAGCCAAAAGAACCTTAACCAGGCTAATGCCCCAAATCACTCGCTTCCATCGCGTGTGTGTTGCATGTGTGTGCGTTGCCGTGGGATGGAAGTGGCTCTAAGTGGAGCAAATAACAAAATTGTCAAAATGTCAGAAAACACTGATGAACTCCAGTGTATGAATACATGGAGCTTTTATTGATTTCCACTCAGTGCAGGATTTCTAAAACTTTGAGGCATGGCATGATGTGCTAAAAGAGGCTACAGCATATTTCAATATGAGCAGGTAGTCTCTAACATTTTTACATGCAGTGAGCATAGCTAAGATGCTAATATCAGAGATTGTTTTCGCCTGTTTTAAGGAAGTTATCTCCTCGTTGCTCCTCCAGGTCTTTCCACTCAGTAAAAATACTGATAAATCCCAGTTTTATATTTTCCACTTATCATCCTCCCACAGTGGTCTGATGCAGCGCTGATGGGGAAATGGGCGGATGGGTGATATGTTCTCATGAAAATATGACTCTCTGCACCTTTCCATTAATCTTTAGAGGCAGTATTGAGAAGTGTCACTGCTTTTTGGTGTGTTGAAATCAGCCTAGTCACACAAACTTCAAATCTGCTTGGTCTAATGTTTTCATTTTCATATTCTTATTCCTCCGCGCCAGCAACAGCCAGGGCCAGAGGCATTATGTTTTCTATTCGTTCGTCCATCCATCCATCCGTCTGTCTGTCCGTCCCATTCTTATGGACGCAATATCTCAGTAACACCTTGAGGACACTTCTTCAAATTTGGCAGAAACATTCATTTGGACTTAGAGATGAAGTGATTTGATTTTGGTGGTCAAAGGTCAAAGGTCACGGTGACCTCACCAAACACGGTTTTGACCTCTTGAATGTGATATCTCAAGACCACCTCGAGGGAATCTGTATAGATTTGACACAAACATTCACTTGGACTCAAAGGTCAACTGATTACAATTTGGTGCTCAAAGGTCAAAGGTCAAGGTCACTGTGACCTAACAAAACATGTTTTTCACCATAACTCATGAATTCATACACTAATTATGACACAATTTAACCCAAATGTCTAAAGGATAAAATAAAGTGATTGCATTTTATATCCAAATGATTAAGGGTCAACTTCACTGTGACATCATAATGTTATGCAAAAAAACCTCTGGCCATTATTCAGTGTTGTAACTCAGGAAGGAGGGATATTTCCTCCAACTTGGCTGGTTGGCAGAGGGATACAACCGTGAGGTGTTAATTCTAGATGATAGGTTATAAAATGTCATGCATTTACTTCAAACTGACTTTAAGGTTAAAATCTTTAAGATTTCAGTCTCAGTTTATTTTGAACTCCTGATTTAAGTGCATTTTAACAAAGCAGGAGCTTCCCTTGAAATGTATAGACCACACATAGCAGCAAACACACCCTGATCAGCTCCTCTGTCAATTTTGGTGGTCAAAGAAGTGTGTGTGTGTGTGTGTGTGCGTGTGCGTGTGCGTGTGTGTGCGTGTGCGTGTGCGTGTGTGTGTGTGTGTGTGTGTTTACAGAACACCCAGACAAACCGTGGGTTAGGTTGTCACAATGTTTTATTAAAAAAAAAATACTCAAGAATCTGTCTTTTCCCATCATCATGTGAGCAACCATGATCTGATTTTCATGCTGCGCACTGCATCAGTTGTCTTCCACACAACAGCAGGGCATTACAAGAGGAGTGTGTTGCTGTGATGACCGTGGCCTTTCACACAGACCCCACTATGAGTCTTTGTCACCTGCAGCTCACTGCTTGTTGTGTTCTTCTCTTGCAATATTTAACACTGATGTGCTGACAAAAATCATCAAGAATGACTCTGTCTTGATTTGTCACAACAAATTTGTTGCATTTACAGCTGCTGTTTCACAATGAAAGCCACCCTGTGTTTGAGCAGTTGAATGCTTTTAATGTGAAATAACAGCAGTAATAAGCATCAGCATTTGCCTAATACAGCTGTGATATGTCATTAGAGGAATAAAAAAGTAAACAATGAAATTTAAATCCCACAGGAATGGTGGACTGAAAGACTTTTTATTTTAAATTAATTTTATTCATAAGCCACTTTTCTAGCGAGGAGTGTTTTCCACAGAAACTGACATGAAGTACAATAATGAGATTAAAAAAATAATGTTTTTAAGTGTTTTGTTATAAGTTTGTTGTGTGGAAGTTTGACACCCTGAAGATGGTGTTTTAATTTGATTTTAATTAATTGTTGTTGTAAATCAAAGCAAACCTGGATTAAAAGCAGTTTGTTTGAAAACCAACTTATTTTCTCCATCTCAGCTCAGTTCTCTTTTATGTGTAGTTGTAAATAGTCTCTGCTCAGTAGTAAATATGATGTCCTGTACAAACCTAACTATCTGTTCTTGACTCCAGCAGGTATGTACATGGGCCAGCCCCAAATGCAGTTCACTCCACAGGGCTTCACCCCTGGAATGGGTGGAGCCGTCCCACCCGCCAACATGATGGGTGGAGGGGCGATGATGTCCGGCATGGCCCTGCCCAACGGGGGCTACATGGGCATGCAGCAGCAGGGCGTGATGCCAGCCAACCAAGGACAGAACATGTACAACATGCAGCAGGGACAGCAGCAAGGACAGTGGAATATGGGCCAGGTAACACACAAGTATACATGCAGCATGTGTCTGAAACACACTCAGTGAAATGGTGATTAATCCATTTTATGGTGATGATTAACTCATTTAAACATTTAGCTCATTTTGGTTCCACTCCAGTTTCTCTGCTCATTAATCTTTTAGGAAGCAAACTTAAATGTTTACTGTGTTTCTAATAACCTGAATAATAAGGTCGTAAGTACAGCAATTTTTTCCACTATGAATTCTTTCTTTTTCCTGTGAAACAGTTCCATTATCCAGGTCCTAAAAGTTAATATACAGTGTTCTGCTCTCTACTTCTGTGCAAAGCCCAATGCAGTAATGTCTTCCCTAAAAGCCGAGGAGGAGCAGCTTTAAACAACTATTCAGTCTTTTTTAGAATCATGGTTATTGTATAATACTATAATGTGTTTTTTTATTCTTAAATTCTTTCCAGTTTCTTTTGTCCATCATGCCATGAAATAATAAGAAGGTATATAATGAAATATAAAATATAAATAACTGCCGTGTTGGAGAGGCACAATACCTATGACAACACTTCTGAAACTGCTCAGTTGAGGGGTTTGAAAATGGTATTTAATGTCCTTTGATGCAGATGATTGTTCTGTGTTCTACTTGTACTACTTGACCTTAGTTCTGCGACACCGTAGAGCATCATATCCTGATTAAGAAGTTGTGGGACTGGGTGGGCTCGTTAGGCATAACATTAAACTGGTTTATATCTTATCTCACTGACTGAAGTTTCACTGTCTCTATTGAGGTTTTGTGTCTGATTCCTCCCCAATGACTTGTGGTGTCTTGCAGGGCTCGGTTCTGGGGCCCCTGTTATTCTTTTTACTGTACATTTGATGCCCTTAGGATGGATTATAAACAGATGTAATATTGCATATCATTTATTTGCAGATGATATCTAACTCTACTTCTCATTCAAACCTAGTAAGGCTTACAGGTTAACTGAGCTCCTACACTGTAGACACTATTAGAATAGGATGGCTAAATATTTCTTACAGCTTAATGCTGATAAGACGGATTGTTGCTCCAGAAACGGTTGCCCTCATGATCAAGCAAAGTATTGGACTTCTTCTCTCTGCCGCCCACCCCAACTTGCGGAATGTAGGGGTTATATTTGTTCAGTCCTTGTTGTTTGACACCGACATTAAGCAGCTGTCCAGATTGTTTTTTCCACATAAGAAATGCAGAATTAGAGATGCTTACACGTCTTTATTTCTACCTATGTTGATTATTCTAATGCACTTTTATCCTTGCTTAGTATGTCCGCCCTTGATCATCTGCAGGCAATTCAGACTGCTGCTGCAAGACTACTCACTAGGTCAAATAGACGGTCGCCTATTACCGTTATACTCACATCCTTTTACTGGCTCCCTGTTACATAAAGGATCCAGTTTAAAATTCTCATTCTTACACACAGAGCACTGCATGGTCAAACTCCTGCTTATGTGGCTGATTTACTTCACCCTCACTCACCTTCTCGCTCTCTTAGGTCTAATAATCTAAATTTACTGTCTGTCCCACGCACTTGCTTAAAGAGCCGAGGTGATCGAGCTTTTGAGGCTGTAACACCTCAACTTTGGAACTGTGGAGTCTTTTAAAAGCTGAAGGCCTGTAAAGACAGGCATTTGAGTAATCTGTTTATCCAGGTCTATCTTTTATTTATATATAAGTGCTATATAAATACATTTTCCTTACTTCCTTTTGTACTTATCTATACTGAATCAGTACTTGGAGACCTGTCATCACATCTGTCTAAGAGCTTCCCCTTCATAAGGCTGTTACCTGCTGCTCAAATTTACACACACAGCATATATCCAGCTTGGGAGGTTAATGAGAGATCATAAATTACCACTGAGACACACACAGACACACACACACGCGCACACACACACACACACACACACACACACACACACACACACACACATATAACACCACCTTCGAACAGTCAAGGTGGGTGGTGGATGACGAAATGTGTGCGTGCACATTGTGCAGCGAGATGTAATGGAATGAATGGACGTATGAGCACTTGGCTGCACGTACTGTATGTCCAGGCCTGGCCAACACACACACATAACTACACACACACACACACACACACACACACACACAGCTCTCAGATGACCAGATAAGTGAGTAGCGCTGCACCATGGCACATTCATAATAGATAAGACAGAATGGAAGGAAGAGGGCGAGTGGGGGATGGCAGGGGTGTAGAGTTGGGAGGTGAGCAGGGAAGCGAGGAGTGTCGAGAAGAGAGAGGGCAGGGAGCAGGGGACACTGGAAGCCTTTAAGGGCAGAAGTGAAGGTAAGAAGGGAGGGATGGAGGTATGGGAGTGGAGCTAAAGGATGAAGAGTCAACCCCCTCCCACCCAGCTCACACCTCTCATCTCTGGGATGAGGGAATATGCTGCTGTCTCTTACTGCTAACACTGACTCTCCTCCTCTCTCCCTTTCTTTTCTCACTCAGATGACCCAGCAGATGTCAGGCATGGCTATGAGCGGCGGAGGGCCAACGCCAGCCACTTTCAACCAGTCAGGAGCCCCCGCAGCCGGTTGGCCCGCGGCCCCTCCAACAGCTTCTGGCCAGACCCTCAGTACCCAGCTGTGGAAGTGAAGAGGGGGGAAACATGGGGCAGTCACATGGCACCAAAACAGCCAAATCTGCCTCCGACCCACTCGTGTCCTTACAGCTCTGAATAAACAACGCACAGCGGGGGCAGTTTGGCTGCCCTACACTCCCCTCCCAAACCCTACACACCTTCATCGTTAGGTCAGAAAAACCAAGATGACATCACACTGGTGAAGTGGAGAAAAAAAAAAAAAAGAGAGACTGGCAGCTGTCGTGTCTTCATTCAATTTCCCTCTTCTTTTATGATTTCCTCTTGTTGTTCATGTCTGAGGAGACAAAAACAGCATAACAAAAAAAGAAAGCTGCTGGACCAATAACTCCAAGTCCTATTATAGTAATATTATTATATCATTACCAAAATGGATAGTTTGTGAATAGTCTTTCAATACGTACAGTAGATATGGCTATCTTGTGGTTGGTTTATGCTACCCTCTCCTCTCCCCTCTCTCTCTCTGCTGTGTAAATTGTAATCCTCCCCCCTTCCTCTCCCTCCCCCTCCCCCTCTCTGTAGGGCGAGCAGAGCCTTGTAGCAGATAATCGTCTGAGCAGTACTGTATCTATGTGAATATAATGTGAAACCCTCACTTTTCAGAGCCATAGGAGAGAGGTTGATGCTTTGACTCTCAACAACTTTGGTTTGAGTTTTATCTGTCACTCTGTCAGGTGAAGTGATCTGGAGATGAGGTTCTCCCTTTACTTAACAGCTTCCTGTGAAGTTTAGCAGCGCTAAATAGCATAGGGTTTGACTGACATGGGTTTAAAGCTGCTTATACAATAGATGTTATTTTGCACTGATTCACTGAGTCATTGTCATATAATTGACCATTTTTCCCCAGAATTGTAAAAAAAATCGGAGGATTGAGTTAAACAGTGTCTCATTACAACCACTTCAGGTTATGTTTTTCTTTCCCCCACAGCAGCCACAGACCACAGATTAGCTCTACAGTGAATATCATATACACCAGTGGTACAACCTTTGGGCTGGGTCAAGACACACATGAGGGGTTACAAGATCATTTAAAAAAAGGAAATAAGAAAAAAATATAACACTTTTTATCATATTTATTTCTGAATCTTTGCTATTTTACTGGCAAATACTGGAGAGTCTCACCTGCTAAGACTCTTAACTATTCAGGTTCAACAATCCTTAGAGAAGCAAACATCCGTGTTTGAGCTTCTCAACTTGTAGACATGTTCACCCTGTGACACGGGGTTGCAAGTAGGGCCAAAATGAAATCTTGTTTTATTTCACCACATGATCATATTCATTTTTTTCTCCCACAAATGCAAAAGACTAAAACATTGAAACGACTATATTTGAAGGCCTGTATGTGCAAAACAGCAGGGCTGTCATGCTTATGAATATTCTTAACCACAAAGGTTAGCCTGTACAGGATTGTCAGTGCTACACTCTCCAATTAAAGGAATATTTCATTAGAGGATTGTTCGTTAGAAGTTAGAAGATTGATACCACTCTCATGTTTGTTAGGTATTGAATTGGAGCAGGGAAGTGATTAGCTTATCTTAGCTTAGCATAAAGACTGGAAGCAGGGGGATCAGCACCTCTAAGGGCACTAATTAACACGCTTAATCTTGCTACAAGCAAACATCTGTACACAAAGACAGTCTGGACAGAACCAGATGACCTGTTCCCCTTTGCTTGCAGTATTTTTGCAAAGCTAAGTTAATCGCATCCTCGAATTAGCTCTGTACCTAGCACAGACGTGAGAGTGGCATTGATCTTTTCACCTCACTCTGCAAGAAAACTAGTGAGTTTATATCCCAAAATGTCATGAGCACACACAATTTATCTGCTGTTTCTTGACATTAACGTCACTTAGTATTAGCTATTGGCCTACATGGCAAGGACACTGTTCACTCTCATGGTTCCAAAAGCGATGACCAGAGTGTAGAGTCCTTTTTCAGTCTAACCCTGATGTAAGTGTAACCACAAGATCCAGTACAGCATGACAAGCACTAACTAGTCATCCAACAGTCCTGAAAATGGCAGTATTAATGTCACAGCTTCAGGGATTGGTGTAACTCAAGACAGCTAGAGCAGCCAGCTACATTTAGACTGAAAATACCATTTTAGGGATGTTGTAATAACACGTTTTTCACAATATAGACATTTTAGACATACTCTACAAACAAGGGTCAAAAGACAAGAAAGGTTGGGAACCACTGATTTATATGTATATCCACTGCAGTTAATGTGACAACAGTGTCTGGCCAGTTACCCAGAATTGGTACTTTAATCAGGAGAATATATCCAACACAGTTTCTCAAACTGCTTAAAAATAACCCAAAATCCAAATGTCAAGGATTCCCTTTAAGTGTCAGTAATTGCTGAGTGGCCCATGGGTCCCCCTGGATGTCTTTGGTAGCCTCCATGTGATGTTTTGAAGTGTTTAAATACCAAACAAGCTGGGTTCAGTGGAAACCGGGCTCTGACCCAGTTAAGACAGTTACTTGTTGAAATGAGCTGCCCCCCCTGCGCTCCCTGAGGCAAATTAAAGCACTGCTGGCATCACAGCAGTTTGTCTTTTCTGCACTTTAAAAAGCAGAGCAGGTACTGTACTGTACACTCTCACTGTGTTGTGGTGTCGCCTCTCAGATCATTGTCGGGGAACAGCAGAGATAAGTGAACTGTGACTTCACTTCCAGCTGCAGGGTGGGAAATCCATTTGACTTTTTCATTCTTTTCAAAACCGGACCAGTTTGACACCCAAAATGTTTCTCCTTCCATATATGAAGCTATAACCGTATGTTCTGCCATCCACCATCTTTATTGTGGTGTTTTGTTGTGTGCAGTACAAGAGAAGCACAGTTAGTCATAAGCAAATAAACCTGGATGACCAATCAGAGGGCTAGACTGGCAGGATGAGGACAATGAGGAGGACCAGGATTGGACAGTGCTGGAGAAAAGGGGGACCTGTATGAAAACCCTGGATGGGTCCAATCGCCACTGTCCAGTCCTTGTTTATTGGGAGTAAGACCAGAGGAGGAACAGGAGAAACAAACAAAACAAAACACACATATGCACACAGAGCTATGATCACACTGCCGAGCGCCGATGCAGAGATTCATGTCCGTGTACACAGGGTCCCTCTGCCATGCAATAACTGTAGCACTCTGTTACACATGTGGTTGGTGTGAACGACACATTAACATATTCAATAAATCTAATGTCCTCCAGGTTTATTTCCAATGTGTTTACATTTTCTGGTGCCTAATACAGAGAAAAAAAAGTGGTTTCCGTGCATTAAAATAATAAATAAAATATTTTTTTTTTCTGTGTTCATCTTTATCCAGTGACTCTTAACTGTAAAAGTACTGTTTTATCTTTTGGAAATTTTGTTTGCTCCTTTTTTCTGTTCCAAGTTTTACAGGAAGGTCATTTGGAATAAAGGCTGTTGAATCCTGGATTTAATCCTGTATTTATTTCCTGTGTGTAACACCAAAACACCAACACATGTTCAGTCCCCTCTAAACTTCAGCGTTAACGCAATGCTGCTGTTAAAATACACTTGAGAAAATGGTTCTTTACACATTTGAGCTGTGAAACCATCTGATGTGTTGTTTATATCCCATCCACTCAATTCAGTCCTTGTTATTCCTCCTCTGGCAGGTGCGTTTTCTTGTTAGGCAGGTTTTTCTTTGTTGTCGGCCCACAGACGCTACATTATTGATGGCAGTTTGTCAGGAGAGATGTTGCGTGTTGCTTCACATGTGCCATATCTGAGCCTGATCACATACTTCACATACATTCAGGATGAGAAGGACGGCAAAGGTTGCTCCAGTTCATTATATATGATCAGTACAGGGTGATTTAAAGCAGAATAACACAGCATTTAGGCATCAATAAATCATTACCACATTAACTTTGAGACATTAATATAATTAATGTCAACAGAGAAGTCCAGAGCTGGGAAATTATGCTGTTTCTGTCTGTGTCTGACTGGCGGTTTACAGGTACACAACATCTTGAAGACATGAAGAAGGTGCTGTTCTTCCAGAACAAATGGAGCTAAAACTTTTGGCAGGTGATAAAAGGAGTGAAAAGCCAATGAAAAAAAATTCCCTTTCAACATTTTAATCTGCTCGTTGAGAGAGGTGTGGAGGGTTACAAGAAAGTCTGGTTTGAAACAGATAGTTAATACTTTTGGAAATACATTTACTTTCCTTCTTCTGAGGGTGAGATGAGAAAAACTGATAATTTTGTGTTTATCAGACACAGAGCTGGAATCAGGACATGGTTAGTTTAGAGTAGAGGCTGGAAGCAGGGGAGAACAGCTATCTTAGCTCTGAAGCTAATTAACACACTGTACTTTGTATGTTAAAAATGCAATGTGATTTTACGGGGAAGTTACATGTTGTTCATGTACTGTGTTGCATTTCTGGTACATGATGTTTTTCCAAATAAATAATTACACCACATAACTTCCCTTAAAGGAGCTATTTGCAAGTTTTGCAAATGTTACATAGCTAACATTAGCATTAACAACTTACCAGTCTAGAAAAATGCTGTGAGTTCAGCATCAAACTTCATTCCTTTACTCCCCAAGAACTGTCTCCAGAGGTGGAAAGCAACACTATTGCTAACTCTTGTTTTATCATGTCTTTTTTTCTACCGAGGTTAACATGCTAACCAGCTAGCCCTAGCCTGTATCAACCTGACGACGTAGCGCTGCTCAGAGGGGTTATTATAACCTCTTGTATTATTAAGACAACAACGGCCAAATCTTTTGTCAAGCAACAATCACCACCACCTGCTCCAGACAAGAAACCACGTTCAATGGCAGAGAAAATTTACAAATAGTCCCTTTAAAACCATAAATTGTTATTTTTACATCTGTATTCATATATAGGTTAAATTAATGAGATATCAGTTTAAGCGGAGCTTTACAGCAGTCCTGACTAGCTTCCTGTCTTTTAGCTAAGCTAGCTAACCACTTCCTGATTCCAGATCTGCATCTAACACATGAAATTAACACCAATCTTTTCATGTCACTTTCAGAAAGCAAATAAGCATATTTCCCAAAATGTTAAAAGTTCCTTTTACTTTCACAAACACCGGAATCACAATACCACTGTCATAAAATATATGCTGGACCACAAGCCTTGTTTATGGTAATTATATCACAGCGACACAGTTAATTTGACAATGAAGCATTAATGATTAAAAATGACATTAATAATTCCAAATGATGTTTTTTTTTTTTCTTTTTTTACATTTCTAGTTCAATTTTCAGTAAGCAAGCTGTGGATGGAAAAATGAAAAGTCCAAGTCATCTCAAGTTTGTAAAACAAACATATCCGGTGCCATCCGGTTCTCACAAAGCACGTTTGACAGACAGCCACGAGTCTTGAATCATGCAGCTCCTCTGAGTCAGTGTGTGTGTCGTGAACAGATTGTATGAACCCGATAAGGAGAGAAGGCAGGATGCTGTCTTTAAACCCAGCCAAGAGATAATGGGCAGCCACAACCAGCTTCTGCTTTCGGATTCCCCGCTCAGCTCGTCCTCTCACACCTCAATGACCACAGTGTCCTTTCGATGTTTGGGCTCATTTGCAAGGTGCGGTTTCTCTGTGCGAGTGTGCCAAACCAGCACCTGAAAAAAGAGAGGAAGAAGCGGAGTGAGAAAATCTGCTGATGGTGCAAAAGTGAGTCACTAAGAGAGAATGAACTGGCGGGTATGCTTGGATAAAAACAGCAAAGATTCAAGTGGATGGCAGAGCCCTACTGATACAGTGTAGGACCTAAGACTTCAGGTCATATCTTATTTGGATTAAAACTGCTGATACCTGATATATTGCAGCCAAAAATTTTTCACTGTAGAAAAATGTCTAGGAAATCATGATAAGCTGAGACTGACACTGGTTAAAAGATAATCCTGGTTTATTACAACTTGGGTCAAGTTAATGGTGTCCTGTGCAGGTTTTTGAATAGTGCTATGTAGCAATGTTTTTAAATGTGTCTCCCCATCTTGTTTGTGCTGGTTACATTTCAGGAAATCTAGCCAGAGGCACACCGTCAGGAGAGGTAAACCAGGCAAATGTTTGGGGCCCTCGAGGGGAAAACTGGCCCCTAATGGCCCCGTATATTGGCACATTTTACAATGATAACTATAAACCAACTTAGACCTCCTATCAAGGCACTACACAATGCACTGCTGTTGCCCTATAACACCCAAGTGGGACCCCTGATGATGTCTACCTAGCATCTACCTGTGAGGCATTCGAGGAACATCTGTAAAATGTAGCTTCTATGAATGGTCTGCATGTGTGTGGTGGGTAGGGGTGGGGTTTCTTGAATGGGCTTCAGTGAGCCCCCCCCCCCCCAGAAAGAATGCTCGCTAGAAAACATCATTGCAAACAGAATATTTTTTTCTGGGTTTTCCAAATGCTTTATAAAGAAGAAAGTTCATTAGCTAGACCAACACAGACATGAAATTTTGGTTGGAAAGAGTGAATATAAGTGTAACTCCACAGTTTACCTTCACTGGTGTACTACTGTACAACTACTGTACATGCTGTAGTTGAGCACAAACATTGTACCTGTAAAATGACGAGTTATAACTGAGACTCATCTATAAACTTGCCTCCTTGGAAAACTGTTTACCAACAGCAACCCAGTGACCTGATCCGAATAGATCAGACCCAGCCCAGAAAATCTGGCCGATGTGAACCAAATAGAGAAAACACCACCGCCACCACCAGCAGCAGTATGATGCTCCACCAGTTAGCAAAGAGTAGAAACACTTTACTTCATCTACACTTCACAAATCAACATTCATTTATTTCTCCATTTTTCTCCATGTGACAGAGCTGAATGAGTCTGATTGGATCCGCCTGGGTGTCACACATACAGATGTGTCACAGCTGGACCCTACAATTTGGACACAACTTGACCTGTGTCCTGGATCAGATCAAGCCCAAGTAATAAAATCAGATCCAGTGGTGCAGACTTTTACACCCCTGATGCTACATACTGTATGTGGGGAACATCCTTGTCATTAGAAGTGAACAACACTGTCTGACCACTGTCTGGGTTTTAATGAAATGTCAGTATGCTCGTCTAAAGCTCGTGTACAGTTGTATTTCCCACACTGGAAACACTTTTTGAAGTAAGGGCTTCACACATATCTGCTGTACTCTTTGAGACAGAGATTGTATTGTATCCTCCTGCTGTTGAATTTCATGCTCGCCAGTGTGCCAGGAGGGATTCCTCACACGAGACAGTCTGACACCTCCTGAAATGGATCAAATAGAAAGCAGCACGCGACTCACTGCAGCTGTTTGTCTTGTGTTTGCGGCCAATTTCACAGCAATGTATTGGTGAGAAAACACTGCAGTAGATGCAAAGATTGATATTTTCCTTGACAGAGGGGACAGTTTTCATTCTTCAGAGATTCAAGTGAGGCTATTTGGAGTAAGAATGTTTTTTTTTAGCCCATAGCTAATGAGCCTATAATTCAGGTGTGTGACATTTTCATGTCCAAAGCGACACACACACACACACATGCACACACGCACACACGCACACACATGCACGCGCACAGACCAGACTCACGGAGGCATGATTTATTGCTGGCTGGGAACACTGTCGTTGTTTCTGAGCTTCTTCAGGTGGAACATGTCACTTCCTGCACACTGTGCTGCTAATTGGCCCACTTTGCATATCTAACAAGGCTAATGTAGCAGCCACTAAAGCATCACTCCAGAGCTGTGGGGAAAACGGTACTGCATGTCTGCGTGTCTGTGCGCCGGCGTGTGCACACAGGAATTAAGCAGTCAGCGTGCCCTCGCTGTTCCACTGGACTCACACATCTCTTTCTCCTCCCACTTTTCTCTCTATTTTCCTCACTCATCACATCCGCTTTTTCTGTTATGGCTATGCACTTGATTTTACCTCTCAGTCCTCGCTCCTTCTCTCTTTCTCTTCCTCCCTCAGGCAACTTGGAGTTAAATAGCTTTACCACGTTAGAGCTCTTTTTTTTTTCTTAATAGCATGAAGGGAGGGCAGCCTTGTTTCTCCCAATCAGGAGGAGAAATTTGTAGAGAAGCAGCGGAAGGACGATCGGGTAGCAACAGCTTACAGTTTTACCTTCAAATTATACACATCTTTGATGGCTGCACTCGGGTTTTATGTTTCTGTCAATAACAAACACATTGTACTTACTACTGTATATATATATAATATAGATATGATATAGCCTGATAATCTATATAAATATATAGTTTGATTTCTTAATCAGAAGGCACTTAGAGAGCACAGACCTCCGCCAAGGCCAATGTCAAACAACATCACCCGACTACAGAGAAAAAAATTCATAGTAAATTATCTCGATCTGCCCCAAAATTGAATGGGACAGTCCCCACCCCTCAAGTTTGGTGCAAATTGGTTCCGTACTTTTCTTCTGACAGTTTAACAACCACAGGTGGAAACATAACCTCCTTGCTGGAGGCAACAATCCCTCATTGAACAAGAAATCTGTGCACATGACTACAGCAAGTGTAGTAAATCAAAGGTGAACCAGTCAGTCTCCACACTGGGATGGATGTTTACAGTGGACAGTTTGGATGATAATTATTGGCCCCTAAAGTGACACAAATTAGATCACAGACCCCCCTCTGATCAGAGTTTTGCTTTTAGATGTTTTATTACAGAAAGTGTTTGAAACCAATGACCAAAATAGTTGTACATTCTGTCATTGTGTTACTTATGGATGGAACTAAAGTGAAAATAAATGGTTTCCCTTTTTGCTGGGGGCCCCCAGGAACCCACTCATGGATCCCTGGGGGCCCCCAGACCACACTTTGAGAACCTCTGCTCTAAGGTCCTCAGTGTAAGTTTTTTAAAAGAATGCACAACAGCAGCCAACTTAGTGAGTATAATCTTATCATTACCAGTATGAACAGTACTGTCATTTATGGATCCACAATTGAAACTCTGGAAACAATTACAAATTTAACATTTGTAAAAATAAGTAATGAATGTTCTTTGGTCTGTGGTGAGTCCCGCTGCCCTGTCAGTAAACTGGCCAACTGTTCTCTGTGCTAACACAGGATGCCGAGCTGAGCTAATTATCGTGACACCAAACCATCCGAGAAGGAAAGCGTGAAATCATTTTAGATTCATCACCATAGATGAGAAAATAAAAGCAAGACTGTTGCCTTTTAATAATTCCACTGCCTCACTCACAGTAACACACCATCACTGAGAATCTGAAGTCACCTGTTCACACAGAAACACCATGAAAGAACAGAACCAGGTCACCTCTATAACTTTAGGTTCAGGACTAGGTTGTTGTTTGTTGAATTAATCAGAACAATTTATGTGTTAGTTTTTATTTTATATTTTTGTGGAACAGTGACGGCTCCTGATAGAAATTATCACACTTCTAAGGTCCATTAGTAGCATTTATGGAGCTTTTGACCATATCACATAGTCTTCCTCAGTAGATGAAGTTTTCCCTGTTGTTAGAGAATTATATATTTATATTTATAGTTTTTCTGAACACTTAAAGGACTTGAGACAGTTTTTGTAAACTATTCTGTTTCTGTGGTCAACAGGCCTGGGCAAAATCCAAATAATAAAAAAATATCTCCTAAAAATATAATTTTGAATATCTATGGACAGACTGTGCAAAACTGAACAACTTCAAAGCTGTTATGAAAAATATTTCATTTGGCGGGAAATATCGCAATATTCGATATTAATGAATAGTGGCCCAAACCTAGTGGTCAAGAACAACAACTTAATGGGACCCGACAGAACAGAATGCATCACATCCATTTGGAAACGCACTCAATACACAGAGGATCAGATCACCCTAACCAGACCAAACAACTATAACGAATAGTGGTCAGAAATGCATTTACCTACATTAATAAAATAAAAAATTAAGTTTTGTAGAAACCTGATCGCCAATGCAAATGAAATAGACAGCAATATCATCTTCCAGTTCGTGCCAGCAGACCTCCCTGTCCCTTTTCTTTCCTTGGTGTCATTCAGTCTGTCTCCTCCACCTTCAATCAATCCATCTACCTACCCTCCTCTTCTCTATACAGGCTTTTACTCCCCCTCCTCTCCTCCTCTCTTTCCCTTTCTCCTTTTCCTCCTGTGCTATCATCTGTCTCCATCTGCTCCTGCCTCCCCCCCTCCTTTCCTCCCCTGTCACTGCTGTCTGTTGCCATTACTCTCCTGCTCTAACTACATTACAGCTCCTGTCAGTCGTCTCCAGATACTGACCGGGCCATCAGATGAGCGTTTCTGGCCTCTATTGTCAAGGTCGGGATTCAGGTGCTGTGATCTGATCCTAGATACCTTCCTCAAAGTGGATGAGGCCTGGAGTCAAGGTGTGTCACAGCTGCTGGAGAGGCCATCGATATCAAATCATTTCAATCACGACTGTTCAGACCAGCTAAAGGTGGCTGAGGTTTTTACTAAAGCTTAAGAAGCTCAGCTGTTTACAGGTCTGTCAGGATTTAGCTGCACTGATCAGCAGAACCAGGATCTGCACCATCATTGATGATGTCAGTTTGATTTAATTACATAGTGCGCTGTGTCTTCTGTCTTAACATTAATAAATTACGGTGATGTGATTAT